GTTCAGAGAAGGGCTACTAAACTGGTTCATGGATTGAGGGATAAAACTTACCAGGAAAGGTTAAAGGATCTTAACATGTAGAGCTTGGAGGAAAGACGAGACAGGGGGGATATGATAGAAACATTTAAATATATAAAGGGAATCAACACAGTAAAGGAGGAGACTATATTTAAAAGAAGAAAAACTACCACAACAAGAGGACATAGTCTTAAATTAGAGGGACAAAGGTTTAAAAAATAATATCAGGAAGTATTACTTTACTGAGAGGGTAGTGGATGCATGGAATATCCTTCCAGCTGAAGTGGTAGAGGTTAACACAGTAAAGGAGTTTAAGCATGCGTGGGATAGGCAAAGGCTATCCTAACTATAAGATAAGACTAGGGAGTAATGAAAGTATTTAGAAAATTGGGCAGACTAGATGGGCCGAATGTTTCTTATCTGCCGTCACATTCTATGTTTCTATGTTTCTATTATTTAAAATATCTATATATTTCCCCTATCTAATAAATTGATCAAAATATTTTTACATATCTGATGTTGGTTCTGTTAGAAGTTTCTGATAACTATAAGTGTCATCCAGCAATCTGCTGGCTTCTTCCACACAATGTATTTGAGACTTAATAATAACGTGCTCCCCATTTCCTTTTTTTCTGTGTATATTTGGAATCTGGGCAAAATTCCTTTACTCCAGGTGCCTCTTTGGAAGTTACCACAAGAATGTAAAACTGTCAGGAGGGTCTCTCAAAGCAGTTTAACCCCTTAAAGGCCAAACTTCTGGAATAAAAGGGAATCATGACATGACACACATGCCATGTGTCCTTAAGGGGTTAAAGGGGCACTCCTGGTACCAATACAATGTTAATGCATTTGACTGAATTTGACCTGATTAATATGCTTTATTTTTGCATGCTCAAATCTATATAGGTGTTGCATAAAAAAAAAGAGTTTTGAAGAATTCTGTACCATACATCTGCCATTTTAGTCACTCCACTCAATTCGGAAAAATACTTCCTTATCAAATGTATGCACACATCTCTCTAAAGTAATAGTGAAAACTAAGGTAATAGTAAAAAAATACTTTGTACAAGCATTCAGTATAACAAATAAAACATAACTGTCTTGAAGATTCTCCATAAACACCCAGTTTCTTCGAAGGGTAACACAAGTACATCCTCTTACATTTTTATGAAGCGGAATGGACTAACTCATAGAGTCTTGTACAACCCGTTTTGCTGCCAGTATTTTCATCTTTAGTATATAAATCATTGTATAATAAGAAAATGTCATCAATATTATGTTTTTCATAAAGTAAAATAAACAGGGTTGTATTATTTTACGGAGAGGTCAATTGACTCACCCCATCATTTAAATTTACACCATTGCGTCCCGTGCTTTCCCTCACTGAGTTAAATACTTGCTATTATGTGCTTTTTGTGTGTTGTGATTTCGTTTTCATTTGTGCAATGCTCTTGACATGTATATATATAAACGAAACATCTAATAATAGTATCTAGGCTGATTAAAACAAAGGAGTGCATCTTGATACTACCGGGGATTAAAGGGGATAAGCAGATTCTGGGCTTATGTGACTAAAATAGCAATGAATTGAGCAGAACAAGTCTGGACACCGAACGAGACACCTGATTTACCTTTGTCTTCATAAAAAGATTCTGTTCTTCAGCAATTTCTTCAAGTAAGCAAACATTCCAGGTGAGTCATTTGTATTATTTTATTTACTATACTACTTGATTCAATCCAGAATAATTACAAAGTATGTATTCAATATATTCATAGAGTGGTGAAACATATCTTTTTGGAACATAAAGACTTTGAGGGATCTTGGGTTATCATGAACCACAACCCTGAACGTTATGTGTGAAACACCTTTCAACGTTCAATTACATTATTATTATTATTAATTGGGTAATAAATTCATTATTTGGTATTATTAAAAATATTATTATACACATAACTGAAGTAATCTCCTCAGAGAGTTTGATGGGCTAATTTTAGTATAGGAGCAGGTGTAACAATTTCCTTCCAAGTAGTATTTACTCTCTCGTGAATTTAATGTAGTTTAGAAAACTGGAAGACTATAAAAGGAAGGAGCTTTGTCATTATTATTAGCAATATTAAAAACAGTATATAAGTTAAATGAATATCCGATATATACCTGCAGACATGGCGGTAGCGTGTACCAACCATCACAAAGTGACAGTATTTTTTTTCCATAGGTGAGACTTAACTGGGATGGCCATTATCACAGTTAGCTGGGTCAAGTAGCTCACGGTATTCCACTACAAGTAGTTCAATTCTTGATGAATTATGGCAAATAATTTCATGGGATGACCCCATACAAAATATAATACATCCTTTCAGGGGACATTCTAAGCACCATCACCCCTTTATCTTAATGTGGTGGTTTTGGAGCAGAGACGCATTTCCGTTTCTTGGGTAATGCAAAACATTGCTATTTTTGAGAAACCGCAATGTTTACATTTGGCTGGAAACAAAAACATTTGGTGGATTTCAAATAGCCAGCCACTGGAGACAATACCTAGTTAGGACCTTTCATTTTTTAAGGTCTTAAAGTTTGGTGCGATCTTTGGAGCATTGGATTTGCTGCTTCTTAATGAGAAGTGTTGTATTGGCAGAGTACGGCATGCATGCACTGCTTCCTTATGACAAATATTGGATTCGACCTTAGGTCATCAAGCTGCTTAGCGAAGTCTGTCCCGGACCTGGATTATAGAAAGATTAATAGTTTTATTTTTAATTATTATTATTTATTTTAATTTTGTTTTAGCAAGGTAGGGCCTAATATCAATTCTTGCAAAATATATAAATACACATGTTCATTTTAACTGCTAACATTTTACGTTTAGATACCACATTCCCCTTAAAGTACACACATAGCACTTAAAATTTAAGAAATAAAAATTCTTCTATATTTCAGGCAGACAAAACCCCTCCCTGCACATACCTTTGTAAATAAAGTCATTCATGTTTTTTAAATGTTTACCTTAAGTGTGTGATTATTCTAAAATGTTTAACTTTTTTAAGAGGAAAATGAGTTTCTACTTGTATATAGTGTAAACTATTTAGTAAAGCATTTTATTCATTCTAAATTAATTAAAACTATACTGTAATTCTTAAACGTAAAGTGTATCTGTCACACAGAAGGTAGATTCATTTTAAAGAGCATCAAATTCTGTCTGTCTGTCGGTCCGTCCGTCCGTCCATTTAATGTTGGATTCTAGCTCACCAATTAAGCAAATCCTCAGCACTAGACCTGTGGTCTGCTGGCACACAAGGTGCAATGCCAATGGACTGAATGACAAGGAAGTCAATAAGTTGACAAAAGTTCTCTTACTCCCTGACACACTGCTACTCCCCAGCAGGCACTCTACATACTTGCTGGGGGAGTATTGGATACACTAATGCCAGACTGCTGGCAATAAAGACAGCATGTTGGCATCAGCATTGAGTTTGTCCCTGCTTTGAAAAGTCAGCAAACAGTGCCAATCACAGCAGACAGGGACAGTACTGGAGGATGGGTGTTATAGTACTGTAATATGCACAGACCTTCGAGAATGATGGCTCTGGAGCAAAGGGCTTCAGGTAAGTAAAAAGTTGAACTGTTCGAAAAAACACTACCTATATTTTGAACTATAATAAATCATGTGTGTATATATATATATATATAGTCTTCAGAGCTGTTAGCTGTTAAAGTGACAGGTTCACATTAAGTTCATTTAACCCCTTAAGGACACATGTAGGCAATATTCCGTCATGATTCCCTTTTATTCCAGAAGTTGTGTCCTTAAGGGGTTAAGTTCATTAAAATAGAATACTGGTGCATTGGAAAAGTAATTTTCAATTAATATTACTTTGTTATGAGCAGATGATAGATAGGGAGATGAGAGTCTTTGGAGCTATAATGTCACTCTTTAATTTTTACCTGTTTATTAGAAAAGATGCCAGTTTTCTTTTTTTCCCAATCGGGCATATAATTATAGTCTAGCTAATAAACTGGTGATAAAAAATGAAATATCTTTCTTAGGTAGGAAAGCTGTGAAGTGCCTGCACATGATATCGCATAATAATTGTTTCTTTCAAGCAATTGCATTAGACGTATTGGCGAGACTCCTACAACATAGAAATGAGCAGAAAAAGAAGGAAAAACAAGAACAAAAAAAGTTCTGACAGCGATGACTGTAAGTACCACGACATAAACAAACATTATAAAACACACATTGCAAGAGTGATATTAGGAACTCAGCAGGTGAGATAAATAACAGATGAATTAATAATGTTTTAGTTAAATCCGATAAAATAGTAATATGTTAGTTTCTCTTGGAAACAAGATTATACGTTTTATTTTTAAATATGTATACACAGTTATTCACTAAACTTGCTATCGTCGTGAATCGCTCTGATGATTGTAAATTAAAAGGGCCAGTATAGTCACCAAAACAACTTTATCTTAATCAAGTGGTTTTGGTGTATAGATCATGCCCCTGCAGTCTCCCTGCTCAATTCACTGCCAGTTAGGAGTTAAATCACTTTTTCTACAGCCTTACTCACACCTCCCTGTCTGTGACTTACACAGCCTTCCTAAACACTTTCAACAATGAGTCATCCAATGTGTAACCCCATAAGGACCTCGGAAGTATCAGGTACGTCCAACAGAAATCGGTCCTTAAGGACCTGATACGTCTGCGGTGAATTAGAGCGCTGGAAGTGCTAAACACAAACACCGCAGAAATGTAAAAACAGCCCTGGTCCCAAACGGTAAGAAAATTGAAAAGCGGTCTGGTCACTAAGGGGTTGAACTTCTTTTATTGCAAATTCTGTTTAATTTAGAATTTCTTGTTCCCTGCTCTGTAAATAGGATTTTAGACCCTGCAGAAGCCTCCTGAAAGTAATTAAAGTTCAATTACAGAGCAGGAGATAAATACCTTTATAGTAAGTTACCTCCGATGGAAAATGAAACCATTTTGTTTTTATGCAGGCTGTGTCAGTCATAGCCAGGGGAGGTGAGGGTAGGGCTGCATAAACAGAAACTAAAGTGATTTAACTCCTAAATGGCAGAGAATTGAGCCGTGAAACTTCAGAGGCATGATCTATACATAGAAACTGCTTCATTAAGCCAAAGTTGTTTTGGTGAATATAATGTCCCTTTCAGACTGAAGGAGCCAAACTGAGAACATGGTTGACTTGGAAATGGTTAGTATAGTATTTTGGCCAATATTTGTAATTCCCTTGTGAAGTCCATGGTTTAGTGACTAGCCTAGATGGTTATATATGTGCTCTTAATAACTGTTTTGTTCCTAACATGTGACATCATCACTTGCTACAACAATAGATGTAACTAGTAATGATACTTTTTCTTAATTTTCTCAGAAATCTGATATTGACGCACGTATAATTTATTTTATATTCTTTTCAGGTGAACAGCCACTATATGTTTGTAGATGCCAGAAAGTGTTTAGGAAAACATTTACTAAACGAAACCATACAGAATCAAAAGAAAGCCCAAAGCCTGTTTTCAAAAAGTGGAGTTCTGAGACAGATCAAGGAACGGATGATGAAATAAATTCACGTAAAGACTCGACTGGAATTCAGACAGAATTACTAACATGTGAAGAACGTGATCAAGAAGAGGTGTGTAGGGTTGAAGATGAAACAGAGTGTGGGAAATCAGCTTCAGCAGTAAACATGACACAAAATGTAGATGTAACAGATAATTCTACTTTGCCCACGGGAGAGAAATCTGAACTGCATCAGAATCTTGATGAAAGTGGTGAAGAAATTGCTACACAGGTGAAAGCTAACTGCATACATATGAACTTTACAATAAAAAATGGACAGTGTCCAAGAAGCCAGACCCAGATTCTTATAACAAACAAAAAAACTCTAACGAAAAGTCGTAGTTACCACGACAGGCAGCATCAACAAAGTCAGCAAAGTGGGAATTGTAGGTGGGATTTTGCTGGCTATAGACCTGGTAAGGATAAAATTCGTTCATTCACTAAAAAAAAGAGGTCTGAAAGTCCACTGGTCAAATTGGAGATTATAGGAGAAGGAATTGAAGTAAAATGTAAAACCATTAATAATAATTTGATATTTCACATAGAAGCTGGTAAAGTTCACAATCAGAAAGATGCTTTTCAAGTCAACTGTGCACAAAATACAACTGACTATGTATCTCCAGAAGGATCATGCAACTCTTACCCTGTATCTGACTTTAGTGTGCATGAAAGGAACAAACTATTTGCAAGATCTGTATCGCCAGAGTGGTATTTAGATGTACCTCCCCCTGAAGAGTTTGCAGATGAAAAAGAAAAATGTATCAATCCAACTCCAGTTGATGAGGCCTTACTCTTTGAAGATTCTGTGAAAGAGTCATATTCATTGCCATCTATATCACCTTGTTGGTGGAAGTTAGAGAATCACCATCAAGCAAATGATGAAGGTTGCTTACCTGAAACTACAGCTGAAGTTGATGAGGGCCTTTGTTTACAGTATATGAAAAAATGTGCCGAATGTTCTCACAGAACAAGTCAGTCAGATAAAGCCAAGATAAATACATTTCCATTTATTTCCAAACAAGAGCTAAAGCTAGGTGCATCTAGATTCTGCCACAAGAGCAAAAGTGATTGTTGTTTTGATGCCAAAGTTCTAAGAAGAAGAACTCTGCCAGAAATGTTCTATGATCCATATAGAGCCTACAATCATTTTAGAGAATCTTTTTTTGACACCGAAGGCCATCCATTTATGTCTACAGTATTCCCAGAGTTATTTGGTTCTTCAAATGCTAACCTGGACAGGAGGCATAGATATTTTCCTAGAGTTGAACTGGAAAGATCATTAAGCTCTTCCCAATTTTCAAGCACTGCTGGAATTCCAAATGAGCCAAATGACCACCTGTTTACTAAATCAGATTATATGAAAACTGGTTTACAATCTGTAGAAACTGATAATTTTATTGATGATGCTCCTTCTACAGAAAATCACCGTGATGGTAATATACTCACTGAGGACATAAAATCAGATACATGCTCTCCATATCCCCTATATTTAGACACTGTTGAGAAAACAGTTGACGAGGATGAGGACTTTGAGGATTTAATGCAACATACTTTCGAACAGATTGATTTTGCTGAGAGTGGCTTTGATGAAGAAATTCTGGATAGTGACAATCATACAGACTATTCTGAATCACTAAATAAAGGGTTTTTGATTCAAGTTACACCACCATCTCGAAGTACTTCGAAGGAACATGTTTTTGAGAAAAGTAACCATAACAAAACACCTACTGAGCCTTTACATGACATAGAATTAAAAAAAGACGTATGTCAATCAGTTGCCACAGACTCTGATATACCCACCAGAAAACGAAAAGGCTCAGTTGTTACAGTTCTAACAGGTGACCTTGAGCAAAGGCTATTACTTCAAGGCGATAGTCAAGCTCTTAGTGAAGCGATTGCTTCTAGAGCACAAAGAGAGCTCATAAAAGAATCTAAGCAATCTTGCATTATACTTCGAGACTCTGTGCTTACACCAGTACCAGATGTAGAAGAACAAGAGCTAGATTCAAAACTGAACAGTTCTTTTGAAGATCAGAACCCATACACATACAAGCATATTTCTTCCCAAACATCTGAAACATTTGATCCATTTTTATCAATAGAAAACCAATGTGATGAGGCAGATGTTGCAAGTATAAGAGCAAATGAAGGCATATGTTCTGAACGGGAAGAAAGCAATGACATGTCTGACAATTTTCAACAAGATACATCTCCACGAAATAGCTCTGACAGTGCAATGCCAGGAACTTCTTTTGACTCAATGACATACCAGAATTCACATTTGGTCAAATCAGATTCTGAAGAAAATGGTCGAAAGAATTCTGAGTCTAAAGATATAACCCAAGAAAAACCAGGAAGTCCTAGGAAGAAGACTTGTAAGACAGGTAAATGTAAGCAAGGAAGGATGGAAAAAACAAGTTCAACTACTTAGTTAAAATAGTGGGAAACATGTTCCACCAAATTATAGTAATAACAAAAGTTAAATTTCCAAAAGTTATTTTAAAGGGAATCTTAGAAATATGTCAAGACATTAATGTGGGCATTAAAATCAAAGTAAAACAAGAAGAAATTTCATATGTGTCTTTACGCAAAGGCCCTAGTGATGTCGCGAACAGTTCGCGAACTTCCCGCGAACAGCTCGCCACGGTTCGCCACGAGCCATTCGCGGCGAGCTCCGGTCAGCTGACACATCCCGGCCAATCTCCAGCAGACCCTCCCTCCCAGACCCTCCCACCTCCTGGACAGCATCCATGTTGAAGGCAGTTCGCAACATCACTAAAAGGCCCTTGACAAATTATTTGTGTCCCAGGCCCATTACTTTACAAACCCCACTACAAAGACTTCCATAGAAGTCTTTGATTTGTTATAAGAAGCTAAAAAAAAGAATTGTCTAAATACCAAGTCCAGAAAACAAGGTCTTTTGTTGTTTCCTTAAAACAACCAGGCTGCTAAGGTGCAGTGGGGCATTACATAGGTACACACCTCCTGTTCTTGCTCCAGAACTGAACCACTAGGGGCCTAGGCACATTTGAAGAAATCCTCAAGGTATTGTCCAGCAATGAACTCTTAAATCCTTCAATTATTTTAATTCTTTATTTATTTGGCTGCATCAATATTACAAGGGTATGGGATTATAAGTGATTAAATCCTGCCTTCAGTTAAGATTACCTTTGAGATTGAGCAGAGGATTTATGGCATGTGAAAGTTTATCTGTTTAGGATATTTAGGAAGGTGAGCCATGTAGTAGATATCTTGAAAGGGTGGATGCTGTTGTCGAAACCAAGGTGTGATAGATAAGGGGACCGTTTAGTAAATTTGTCATAATGAATAGGCCTGTGCAACATATTTCCCATTTGGATGGATCTGGATATAGCAAATTAATATGAACTGGTTTATAAATATATAATAATCTGTGATTAAATGTTATTTGAAGAAATATGACAAATATCGCCCACCTTATGGTGAGATCAGTTATTGGATGAAACTTTGCAGAGGAAATTTTAATATAGCAAGTATTGAAATATAGGTTAAATCATATAACATATGAAATATAGAAAATGGATGAGATATTAACAGAGAGATGTTTAGACCGTGTTTCCTTTAGTTAATGTCTGAGGTTTATTCACTGAACTGTGGATTATATAGAAATTTAGTTGAAAATAATGAAGCTGGAAAAATGGCTGGAACTGGAACTATTTCCACTTTGACTATTTTAGGCTTATATTTACTATTATCATAATCAACCCCAGACTGGCCATTGGGCAAACCAGGAAAATTCCAAGTAGGCTGTGATGATCCCATGGACCAAGGTTGACACAGGGAGATCAAAGACCAAATATCGCCCTCACCAGCCCAGTGCGCCCTGCTGAGGCTAAGAACACCAGCAAAACTTTAAATTATGTGTACCCTCCCCAAGGTCTGGCCATTCAGAGCGGTGATGTGGAATACCATAACAGCCATCTAATACTACACAGTGCTCATAGGTGCAGGCTAGGATCTCTCACCACTGAACGACTAGGGTCACGCATGGTAAAAATTAAAAAAAGTATTACATTTCTCCTGCCACCCCCTCATCAGGCATACACCTCTATAAGTCCTTACCTCATTCCCCACAACACAGCCTCAGTCCCACCCACACAGTCACACACACACACACACACCTATTACATCCACTTTACATATACACACTTACATCCGCTGATCCCCTACACACACACTGGGTACCCTATACTCACATACTATCTGCAGTCCCTACATATACACACTTTCTACACTCTTACACACACTAAAGTCCAGATACATGACATCTTCTACAAACACAAACTATATCCCTTGTACACACGTCCGCTCCTATACACACCCACTCATTATCCACTATACATACTCTATGCACACACATATTTTACACACACATTTTACATTACCTACATACACACTACAGATCCTGTACACGCACACAACACTTCCTATAAATACTACAGCCCCTATACGTGTGCACACATACTACAATACTATTTTCTAGCCCTTTTGTCTTCTAACATCCCATTTATGGAGACACCACAGACAGGCCACCAGAAAACACAGTGCAAGTATATCATTAAACTCACTTGTCCTGTCCAAAATAAACACTGGGTGTGATGGATACCTCTGCCGACGGTTGCTCCTAGCGCTACTCAAGGGCCATCAGCACCGCACTTGACACCGTAGGCACTGCAGACTGCACGAACCGCCGTAGCTTGGTTAGGATCTCGCCGTCTCCTTCCCACCCTGGGACTCCAACCTCTGGATCCAGGAGTGTATAGAAAGGACCTCCAAGAGAGTATAGCGGCTCTCCTCCAAGAGAGTATAGCTGGGTCTCTCCTCCAAGAGAGTATAGCTGGGGCTCTCCTCCAGTAGAGTATAATGGGGGCTCTCCTCCAGGAGAGTATAGCTGAAAAGAGAGGGAGCTCTTACAAGAGCTAGCATTGATATAGCTGGTATAGCTGGTATAGCTGTTCCCTACAACAAGAGCCAAGGCTACAAGTTGAGGGCAAGAAGATTTGGTTTATTGAGTGCAAGGGGCATTTCTTTTATACAGTTTTCCCCACAAGGTTACAACCCACGTGGATCTTGTTGGGCACCGACATCACAAATCTAACAACCAATCATTTACAGACACGCAGTTAAACACTCCCCTTCATTACTGTAAAAGTAATTGCTGTATCAACTCAATTATCTCCAAGCGAAAAATATACTTTTCAAACAATTTCCATAACTTTATAACTATACATGCAATATTAATAAGAGTTTTTAGAACCAGCATACTTAGGGGACAAACATATCTAAAATTCGTGAGAATTGGTCCAGTGGTTTGGGAGATAGCTGGAAGTCATATTTGACCGACCGCACGCACGCACATTTTCATGCCCAAAACAGTTCCAGAGATTTGAGTTGTGCGGCCGGTCTATTCCCCATAGTTCAAATACTGTTAGAATGCATGAACGGGTGCCGTTCATGCAAATAGCAATGTTAATGTGGCGTTCGTACTGTCGAACGCCGTTCAACTCAATTTGAAGTGTTGAAGTTCCAGAGAAGGTAGAAGTTCAGCGGTGTTCGCGCCATCGCGTATCCGATTTTAGTTCCATGAGCTCGACGACCAAACACCGCTGAACGCATTCGAATTAATTAAAATGGCTCCCACCACGTGTTCGTTTGTCGAATGGCGGCCACTTCGACTACTTCAGCACTTCGGCAGTATCATAACACGTAAGTGTAAGTCTGGCTGCTTAACTTTGTTTAACCGCTCATTTAAAATCGGGCCCTACAATTATTGCCATAAGCTTTGACATTTCTTAAGATTCTGGCAACACCAAGAACCCATCAACTCAACTAAGAGATCAACAATAACAGACAGGCAGGATTTTGAAATAAACCTAACACACATATGTGTAACAAAATGTTAAGCTACATTGTGCATTAAAAATGCAACATTTACCCTGCAGAGAAAATTTATTTAGAAAATTGGGAAGACTAGATGGGCCGAATGGTTCTTATCTGCCGTCACATTCTATGTTTCTATGAGAAAGAGTGAAAACACAGACATATTACATAGTAAGGCTCACTTGAATTGTTTGAGAGCAGCATTGTCTGGTAATGTTTTAGTTAGTCTAAATTAAATTGCAATAACAATTACCAATTCTAGTTTTTATTGATGGATCTGTGCATTTGGCAGTTGGGGTGTTGGGGTTACCCACTACCCCAAACAATTGAACATTTTGCTAGACTAAACAGCACCAATTACCATCTTCATAATTTGGCCTTATTGCAAAGATAATTCTCTGGAGGTTAAAGGGGCACTATAATCACCTAAACAACTTTAGCTTAAGGTATCAGTTTTGGTTTATGGATAATGCTCCTGCAGTCTCATCGCTCAATTCTCTGTCATTTAGGAGTTAATCACTCTGTTTCTGCTTATGCAGCCCTAATCACATCTCCCCTGGCTGTGACTCACACAGCCAGCATGAAAAAAAAAGTTTCATTTTTAATTGGATGTTAAATGACTTTATGATTACTTTATACGTTTTTATATCCTGCTCTGTAAATTGAAGTCACATACAGGAGGTTTCTGCCAGGGCCAGTGCAAGTATTTTTGCTACCCTAGGCAAACAAAAATGTGCCGCCCGCCCTGTGCTCTGTTCGCCACTTTGGGACTTCTGCACTTTGGGCCTTCGGCACTTCCGGAGTTTGGCAATTCCCTTCCCCTAACCCTACCCCTAACCCTACCCCTAACCCTACCCCTAACCATACCCCTAACCATACCCCTAACCCTACCCCTAACCCCACCCCTACCCTTAACCCTAGCCCCAACCCTAGTCCCAACCCTAGCCCTAACCCTCCCCCTAACCCCAACCCTACCCCTAACCCTAGCCCTAACCCTAGCCTTACCCCATACCCCTAATCCTAGCCTTACCCCTACCCCTAACCCTACTAGGGTTATGGGTAGGGTTAGGGGTAGGGTTAGGTCTAGGGTGAGGGTTAGATTCCTGTCATCATTCCCTTAATTTTCCCTCCCTCTCCTGTTTTGCCAGTTTCAGAAATCCAAAGCACTTCGGCACTTACGAAATTCGGGACTTTGGCAGTTCAGGTCGGCATTTTGGCAATTCTGTTCAGTTCAACACTTCTGAAATTCAGCACTTCAGCAATTCGGACATTTGGAAGTATCCGAATGTCCGAATTGCTGAAATTCGTCCGAATTTAAATTCGGACCGAAATGAATTGCACGTCTAGTGGTTCTGGTGCCTATAGCCTGTCTGTTCAGGCATTAAAAGGCCTGCAGGGACAAACTATAGGCACCAGAACCACTACATTAAGATGTGGTGGTTCTGGTGACTACAGTGTCCCTTTAATGTGGGATAAATTAGAGATTAGTGCCTCTAATAATAAAACTGTTTGTAACACTGCTCTCAAAAATCAACGAACAGGAAGCAGCTCCATTTTTTGGGGCCCCTTACGTGAGTATGCCAGCCAATAAGTCCACCTACATGGCCCACCCATGAGTTCGCTCACAGGGAGTGGAGTGTATGAGTGTAGGGGATGTGTTGTGTGTGTGTATAGGGGATGCAGTGTGTGTTTGTGTGTAAGGAATGCATTGTGTGTTTCTGGGTGTGTGAGTGTAAGGGATACATTGTGTGAGTCTGTGTTTGTATGTGTAAGGAATGCATGGTGTGTTTCTGTGTATGTGTCTGTAAGGGGTGCATTGGATGTGTGTAAGAGATGCATTTTGTTTCTGTGTGTGTGTAAGAAAAGCAGTGTGTGTGTAAGGGATGCATTGTGTGTTTTTGTATGTAAGGGATGCAGTGTGTGTGTGTAAGGGATGCATTGTGTATGTGTGTGTGTAATGGATGCATCGTGTGTTTCTGTGTGTGTAAGCGAAGCATTGTGTGTTTCTGTGTGAGTGTAGGATGCATTGTATGTTTCGGCGTGTCTGTGTGTGAGTAGGGATGCATTGTATGTTTCTGTGCATGTGTGTGTGTGTAGGGATGTGTAAGGAAATCAAGTATAGCTGAACCGCTTTGATAATTCCTCCTGCAATGCCAGCGTCTAAGGTAGTTCTAAGCAATGAAGTCCATAAGAAATATAACAGCTTCCCAAGATAATCCCCTTGGTAAAGCATACGAATTCCCAAATAACAGTCAGAGTCCAGAATCAGGATACCAGTAGATCTGAGGTCTGGAATCTCCAGCCTGCTTTTTATTGAGGTTACAGACAAGAAGTACACACCCAGGGGGAGGCATTAAATCACCAATCAGGTATAGGTTACAGCCCACACCTCCCTCCCCTCTGATAAACAGTTAACTTAATTAAAACGTGCACTATTTTACCCCAGTTCTGGATGTACCCCAAAAACAGGGGGTACACCTTTAAATTTGGTACCGCTGGATAGTTCTCATTTGTGGGGACAACATATCAAAAAATCAGTCCATTCGGATGAATGGTTCGGGAGTTATGGAACACTAAAGTTTTGACCGACCGCACGGACCATCTAGCCGAAAATAGTTCCATAAGTTTTGGCCCTGCGGTCGGTCTCCGTTTAGGCGAATAAAAGAGACGAAAGCCCTGCCATCCATTCGCATCTTTGTGATCGTTGAAATCCCCATACTAAGTTACATGTAACTACCGAACGGCCGGTGATTCGGTCGTTCCCGTGCGAAGTTCTGGATGTATGGAGGTCTCAGCGGTGTTCGCCTGTTTGCGTATCCGATTTTAGTTCCACGCGTTGACGGGCAAACACCGCTGTTCGCACGTAAAATGGCCGCGGCCACGGGTAAAGTGCCGAAATGGCGGCCACCTATATTTTACACAGGAAATTCGCCTGAATCCATCCGAAGGGTAGAAATGAAAGCTATATGCCGAATTCCAGCTGAATTTGGTGAATTAACTGTACAAAAAAAGGTAGAAATCCTGATTAACGGAGTCGTTTCTTCACAGGATGCATTGTGTGTTTCTGTGTATGTGTAAGGATGCACTGTGTATGTGTGTAGTGTGAAAGAGAGGGCTTATGGGGTAGGATAGGGGCTGAGAGGGGAGCAGCTCTTTATTTTGATAATTATATTTATTTTGTTAATATACTTTTTTTGGTATATTTTTTCTTTAAGGTTTGTGTCTTATCCCCCCTTTAGTTTATCTCTTACAAGCCCCTTGTGTGTCTTTTACCCCCCCTCTTTGCATGTCTTCTACATCCTCCCAACCCCTTTGCGTGTCTTACTCCCCCAAGCCCCTTTGTGTCTTACTCTTCCCAGCTCCTTTGTGTGTCTCTTTTTCCCCCAGGCTCCTCTGTGTGTCCCTCTCACAAGTGACTCTATGTGTCTCTATCTGAGCCCCTCTGCGTGTCTCTGTCTCCACTATCAGACCCTCAGTGCTTCTCTTTCATCCCTTCCTCAATCTCTCTGTTTGTCTTACACTTCCCTCATCCATTAATGATCTCTTTCACTCCCCCCATCCCTTAGTGGTCTCATCTTCTCTCCTCCCCCTGTCCCTTAGAGGTCTCCTCTTCTCCCCCTGCCCCTTAGAGGTCTCCCCTCCTGTTCCTTAGTGTTCTCCCCTCCTGTCCCTTAGTGCTCTCTCTTGCCCCCTGTCCCTTAGCGCTCTCTCAACCCGTCCCTTAGAGCTCCACCCTCCTGTCCCTTAGTGCTCTCCCCTTCTCTCCTGTCTATTAGTGATCTCACGTATCCCTTAGTGCTCTCTCCTCTCCTCCCTTAGTATTCCTCTCCCCACCCTGTCCCTAAGTTGTCTCCCCCCCTTTGGTGGTCCTGTCTCCCTCTCCCCCATTTTAGTGGTCCTACCTCTCCCACTCCTCCCTCTTAGTGGTCCTACCACCCCCCTTCTTGATGGTCCTCTCCCTCCCCCTTAGTGGTTCTCTCCTTCCCCCTACTTCCCCCCTTGTGCCTAAGTTGCCTATAGGAAGTGCCAGCCCTGGGTTTCTCTGAGGTATAGCAAACTGCTGACAGTGCAGGAGATAAGAACTTCTAAATTAAGCAGAATGTGCAATTAAGGAAGTTTAAACATTAGATTATTCATTACAGGAAGTGTTTAGGAAGGCTGTGTAAGTCACATGCAGGGAGGTGAGACCAGAGCTGCATAAACAATGTGATTTAACTCCTAAATGGCAGAGAATTGAGCTGTGAGACTGCAGAGTCATGATCTACACACGAAAACTGGTTTATTAAGCTAAAGTTGTTTTGGTGACTATATTGTCCCTTTAAACATCTCTGAGGACATGTACACATCCTAGAAAAATCTGTTAACTTGTTTCTCCATTGTAGTACATGACAGCAATAGGTACTGTGTAGATGATTGCAGATTAGCAGTTCTGAGTGTCTGTGATTGTATAAAATAGTTAATTCACTTTGAACTACGAATAAGTCACCTTTTAGTGAATATATGTACACATTTGTATTACTGTATTATTTAATATAACTATGTAATTCTAATAAATTAATGTTTTTTACATCAGACAAACGATATGTGTACTCAAGTAGTTATTTCATTACACAAGGAGATAAACAGTTTTGTGATAACATATTTATCTTCTAATTTAGATAAAAGATCAGAAATAGTCAGCAAACATTTAAAACTGCCCATGGATACAGTTCTGAAAGAAACAAGAGACAGTGGGACTATGCAGGAGGAAACGTCAGATCGCTGGGCAAAGAAAAGAAAGCAATTTAAAGAAACCAAAAATTGCAATTCTGCTGGAGCTAGCTCATTGACTAGTATTCTCACTGAGGAATCCGGTTAGTATCTGTATTTTTATATCAATGTTCACGTATTGTCTCAACCATACGGCAGTAGGATTGATTATTCCATCCTTATTCCTTCCTTCCAACCATCCATGGGGGGCATCCACTGATCAGCCACAACATTAAAATAACGGACAGATGAACTGAAAGACATTGATTATATCATTACAATGGCACATGTCAAAGGGTGGGTTATATTAGGCAGTCAGTTTTTGAATGTCATGTGTTGTGATGGGCAAGTGACAAAGGCCAAATAGTGATGGCTAGACAACTGGGCCAGAGCATCTCTAAAATGGCAAGTCTTTTAAGGTGCTCCCAGTAGTGGCTATTACCTACTAAAAGTGGTGCAAGGAAGGATAACCAGTGAACCGGCATCAAGGTCATGCACACCCAAAGCTTATTGATACATGTGGGGACTAAAGGCTTGCCTGTCTGGTCCGATCACAGAGAAGAGCTAATGTAACTTAGATTGCTGAAAAACATAATGCTGGCCATAATAGAAAGGTGTCAGAACAAACCGTGCATTGCAGTTTGCAGTTCAGCTGCAGACCGGTCAGAGTGCCCATGATGATGCTTGTCCACTGCTAAAAGCACCTTCAGTGGGGACGTGAGCATCAGAACTAGATCATGGAGCAATGGAAGAAGATTGCCTGGTCTGATGAATCACGTTTTATTTCAGATCAGGTGGATGGCCGGGTGAATGTGTGTCATTTACCTGGGGAAGAGATGGCAACAGGATGCACTATGGGAAGAAGGCAGGCAATCATGTCAATATTACCTTGACACGTACAACCTACCTAAAGATTTTTGCAGACCACATACACCCCTTCATGGCAATGCAGTTCTCTGATGGCAGTGGCATTTTTCAGCAGCATAATGCACCCTGCCACACTGTAAAAAATTGTTCAGGAGTGAGGAACGTGACCTCCATCCGATTGAGCATCTGTGGAATATGCTGGAACAACAAATGTTTTAATGTTGTGACTGATCAGTGTGTAGAGGTACAATACCACCATTATGGTAATATGGACCCCAATAGAATTTCTATTTATTTCATATTTTTTTTCCTTTTTTTTTTATATGGCGGCCGGTTATGCTGGTTAGTGTGTACGTAATTAACCTTTACACCACGGCGGGTTTTTTACTATTTGCTCCCTGGCTGCTAGCACTGTCAGTAAGCGAATAGTTCAAATTTTCTTTTTTTTTAATCTGGACCTCGAGTTGAAGCCTTTAAGTTTAATTCATCTAAACCAGATTTCAGCTATCCGGTGGTGTTCAGTACGAATGAAATCCCGAACGAATTTACGACTGTTCGGGACCTGATTTACACAATCCGGAAATTGCTGAACTCCAACAACAATGCCCAGATTTTGCAATCAGAATGCAATCTGAAAGACTTTAGTGAATAAAACTGGTAAAATTCACTTTGGACTTATTTTGCATTTTCACTTTAGCAGATAGCTCTGTATAGTAGTCGGAAAACAACCTGGGAAAATTCGACATGCTGAAATAGATTATTTTGGCTTGCAGTGGGCAAATTGGTTGTCAGCCCCACAGCCTCATGCTCAATGAATAAAGGAAATGTCCTGAATGTCTACTTCACCAAGAAGAAAAAGCTATATCTATTATACTAAGGGAAATGTTTTCTGAAACTTCCACAGGCACAAAGTTTTGATTTGGAAATCAGCACTCACTGCATTGTTCACCAATGTTGATTTTCTGCCAATTCCAGGCCAAAATAGCTAAGAGAAAAATATAGCTGACTTGGATCATTTATCAAATGTGACTATTTTGACAAAAATAAATCTGACTTTGTGCTTATTGTAAATTTCCAAAATTTTAATGGATAGCTTTTACCATGAAAATGGCTTTTATACCATGTATCGGGATTAGGAAACCTTTGGCTTTCCAGATGGACATCTTCCTTGATGCTTTGCAGCATTACGACTGAAAGAACATGTGGAGTGCCTACATTTGCCTACCACTGCCATATATTGTGATTTCAAAACAGTTTTTCGTACAGTTTAGCGGTGGGTACAGTATATCAGCTCCCTTCCCCCCAGAAAAAAATCTATTTAAGTCACTGTAAGCTAATGCCATAAATTTGGCCTAATAAATATGTCAACGATAAACAATACAAGCATGTCTCTGTTTTTTCTTTTTTGCTAATGGTTGAAAACGATACACTTACAGGAAGATGCGACATGTAGGTTTGGTTGCTTCAAAGAATTTTGCAGATTATGTAACCATCTGTTTATTAACACAGTTTTTTTCATGCTGAGGATTCATATGACATAATAAAGCAGTCTGTTAAAGTAAAACAAATGCAGCTGGTATCTGATACATATGTCTTTAGATCATTAGGTAGTATGACTATGTTCTAATGGAGAAATCTTCATTTCAGGATAAAAGGCCAGGTAATAACTGTATGTGTGTGTTTTGTCAATCTGATCTGTCTTCAGTAAAGTAGATAAATATTTACAGGCATCAAATTGATTCGAAGGATTTTTTTGATTTTTATGTTTGTTAAACACTGTAAAAGATGTGAGATGCTAGGATTATATTTCGTTTTTATGTCTATATATAATAATAATTTATTCATGCCATACTGTAAAATGTCATGTAACTATATAATATAATAATAATGTGACATTGTATGAGTTTACTATGTTTTAAATTAATAGAAAATGTGATTTATTTTTATTTATTTTTATTCCACGATATTTTGCATTTGATACTGTTCGCTCTGTTGTACTGCATAGTGCGTTGTAGGCAATAGTTTACTTCCTGGAGTGCTGCGAGTTACCCCACCATATACTTTGCATTGCCTCAAATCTTTGGCAATCAGAGGATTGTGTCCAGTTACTTATATTACAGCTGTTAATGTCTTATAGCTAATTATTTTGTGAATGACAGCTTGCTGCATTGTTGCTTAGTAAAAAGGGCACTGTGTTAATAGTCGTAGTATTATAGTAGTAATATTACTTATATAGCACCAACTATCTTCTGCTAATAAAACTGTTGATCACACACACCTTCTTCCACCTCTTCACCATGGCCTTCATGACTCTTTTGCTTTGTGGTCCATGTCTAACCTCTTCTAATGCTTCTTCACCATCTACTTTTCTGATATTACCTTCTCCTCTCAGCTTGTTCATAGTTGTAGCCCCTTAACATGTGTGCCAACATTTTTTATGTTTTTTCTTTCCTTAACCGCTGAGCCAAATGTACACGTTGTGACCAAACAAAATGTAAACAAAAACTTGAATTTGCGCTATATGTCTGTTCAGGCGTAATTTGCCTCTTTCATATTATGTGCACGCACACTTATTATACATCATTTTATTCCAGGGAAACATGGCTTTCATTTAACATCAAATGTTTAGGTATGAAACATAATTTAATATGAATAAAATATAAAAAAATGGGAAAAAAATACAATTTTTTTTTTAAAAATTAGTTCTACGTGACATTCTAACTGTGAGTGTCATAATACTGTTTTCTTTTACTGCAATAAAATACACATATTTGTGTTCAGCAATGTCTCACGTGTAAAACAGTACCCCCCATGTACAGGTTTTATGATGTTTTGGGAAGTTACAGGGTCAAATATAGCATGTTACATTTTTCCGTTTTTTCACATTGAAATTTGCCAGATTGGTTACGTTGCCTTTGAGACCGTATTGTAGCCCAGGAATGAAAATTACACCCATGATGGCATACCATTTGCAAAAGTCCAGTCTTTTTTAGTAGCCACTTGGTCACAAACACTGGCCAAAGTTAGTGTCAATATTTGTTTGTGTGTGAAGAATGCAGAAAACTAATTTGAACGCCAATTTTGGACAGTGTTTGGGACTAAGTGGCTACTAAAAAAGACTGGACATACCCCATTTGCAATACATTGGGTTGTCTACTTTTGCAAATGGTATGCCATCATGGGCTACCATACGGTCTCAAAGGCAACATAACCAACCTGGTGAATTTCAATGTGAAAAAACTGAAACGCAAGCCTTATATTTGACTCTGTAACTTTTGAAAACACCATAAAACCTGTACATGAGGGGTACTGTTATACTCGGGAGACTTCGCTGAACAGCAATATTAGTGTTTCAAATCAGTAAAACGCGTCACAACAATTATATTGTCCGTGCAAGTGCCATTTGTGTGTGAAAAATGCAAAAAATTTCACTTTTACTGACAATATCGTCATTGTAATACATTTTACTGTTTTAAAACACTAATATTTGTGTTCAGCAAAGTTTTCCGAGTAAAACAGTAACCCCCATGTACAGGTTTTATGGTGTCTTGGAAAGTTACAGGTTTAAAAACAGTGCTAGCAAATTAAATTCCCTGGACTTTTGGCCTGGGTTGTCAGGCAGGTCTCGCTAATTGTAATTAATAAAATGACCTAATTATGAAATTTTATTACATAAATAAATGCGTAGAATTATTATATATATATATGTAAATTCGTGCAGCTGAGCACCGGGCCAATATACGAAGGAAAGCTGGAGTGGAGCTTCTATCGGACTATATATGTGTGTGTATATAATGTTTTAAAATTATTTTTATTTATATTTAGGTATATATATATATATATATATATATATATATATATATATATATAGTGATATATATGTATATACTTATGTATATAGATATATATTATTTTGTTCTACATGTATTTTGATATTAATATATATATTAATTTTAAAATACAGTTAGAATGAATTTACACATATATTTTTTTTATGTATTTATTTTTTTATATTATATATAAATATATATATATAATTATAATATATATATATATATTTAATCAATATCATTGTACGTGTATTTTGATATTAATATATATAATTAAATATATTAATATTAAAATACACAGACTATGTATGTGTGTATATGTGTATATATATATATATATATATATATATACTTAGATCATATATATAATGAATATATATATGATCTAAGTATATATTTTATTTTTAAATTTATTTTTTTTACATTTTACAGGCAGTAGGGGGAGTACCTGTCATTACAGGCACTCCCCCTGCTGGTACTGCCTTGGACGGCTATGCCGTCCATGTGATTGTGAGGTCCTCGCAAGGACCTCGTGATCACATGGCCCAGGGGGGTCAAAGAGGATGGAGGGGGACTCCCTGGGCTCCCAGGTCAGTCCCCATACCACGATCGCCGGCAACCGGGTAAGTAGAAAGGAAGGATCTCTAACAGCCATCTAAGGAGTGGCCAGTGAAGTTAGCACTAGGCTGTAATGTAAACACTGCATTTTCTCTGAAAAGACAGTGTTTACAGCAAAAAGCCTGAAGGTAATGATTCTACTCACCAGAACAAATTCAATAAGCTGTCGTTGTTCTGGTGACTATAGTGTTCCTTTAAGTGTCACATTTGACTGCATGTTAAAAATATTGTAAAATCTAGTGGTCACTATTCTATCCTAATTCTCCTCGACCTTTCTGCTGCTTTTGAGACTATTGATCATCAACAGCTTTTTCTCATCCTCCATAATCTCAGTCTACAAGATACTGCTCTCTTCTGGTGCTTCTCCTACCTTTCCAGCACTCTTTCAGTGTTTTTTTTCTCTGTCTCTGTTTCTTCTCTGCAACCCCTCCCTGTTGGTGTTTCCCAAGGTTCTGTCCTTGGTCCTCTATTGTTCAAAGTCTACACTGCCCCCGTGGTAATTGTTATGCAGATGACACAGGAATGTATCTGTCCTCTCCCGATCTCTCACTTTTCCTTGACTCGCATTTCTGACTGCCTCTCTGCTCTCTTATAACTGGATGGTTGTTTACTTCCTTAAACCTAATCTGTCCAAAGCAGAACATCTTGTCTTTCCTTCATCAAGTGTTGCTATTCTTGTGTCTGTCTCCCTCAAAGTCAACAGCACTATCATCAGTTTTACCTTGCAGGCTCGCTGTCTAGGTGCTTCACCCCTCATGTCCAGTTGAGTGCCTAATCCTGCTGCTTCCATCTCAAAAATGGAGTATGTATCCACCTCTATTTAACACCGGACATGAATAAGTTGCTGGTCCATGCTGCTATCCTTTCTTCCCTTGCCTACTTCAAAATGCTTCTCAGTGGTCTTAGGTGTTCCCAACTTGTCCCACTACAGTCTATAAAGAATGCTGATCTTCCGGTCTGCTCACTCCTTCCCCTTTTAGTCGTTACATTGGCTTCCATAAGATATAGGGCTCAATTTAAAATTCTGATACTTGCTTACAAATCTCTACAAAACACCGCTCCTACCTATCCTCCTTAATAGACAAATAGGTCCCGTCTAGGCCACTCCATTCGGCCAAAGACTTGCGTCTATCCTCTGTTCATACTCCCCCTTTTGATGCTCACCTACAAGCCTTCCCAAGGGCTGCACCGTTCCTGTGGAATTCCCTTCCCTTCTCCTTTAGACTTTCACCCAGTCTCCAATCCTTCAAAAAGCTGCCTCTACTCTTCACATGCTCTTGCTTAAGTATGAAACCTTACGAGTGATGTAGGGGAACAAAATTTGTGTGAACTGGCTGACAATGAAATGAGTTAAGGTAAAGCTGACCTTGCGCACTATGCAAATGCTCTTGTTACTTCAGTCTCTCTAACACTGTGGCATGTTCCCTTTCTTCTACACTCACTACCTCCACTTTGTCTATGTCACTGACTTTATAACAGAAGCTTCTGTGTGCTAGAAAGAAGGTTAGGAGAGGAGTGGACCAGCGAGTGCTAGCGCATTACACATTTATGCCAAGCTCTGCACAGTATGCCCTTGGTTGGTCATCCTGCATGATTGGCAGGCAGACTGACGTGCACGACACACTGACCCTCTAATTCTTTGGGCAGACACACCCCCTTTTTGGGCATGTTTGTCCCTTTTGGGCAGTTCTGGTTTCGTGATTGACATCAGTGGCCCACCCTTTTACGGCACCCACCAAAATCCTGCTTCACCGGACACTGCTGTTAGGGGGTATGGACAGGGCTGTCTATAATATGATTAGGACCATGGGCAATGCATTTTCTTGGGCCCCCTGGGCCCTGCTCCTCCCACCCTCCCACCCCCCAATTACGCCCAACCCATAATCACACTGACAGACATACTGACACATACACACAGATAGACATATTAAAACATTCGCAGATACATACTGACACACACATACACTGACACACAAATATAAACTGGGAGACATATTGACACACATTCAGACATACTGACACACATACAGACACACATACACAAATACACACACACACACACAGACACATACACTGACAGATATACTGACACACACAGACAAATACACTGACAGACGTATTGACAAACAAACACAGACATGCTGACACACACAGGCATACTGACACACACGCAGGCATACTGACAGGCATACTGACACACACACAGGCATACTGACAGACATACTGACACACACACACACACAGGCATACTGACACACACACAGGCAGACATACTGACAAACACACAGACATACTGACACACACACACACACACAAACATACTGACACACACACACAGACATACTGACACACACAAACACACACACACACACACACACACACAGACACACAAACATTTTCTTTTTAGCCACCCTCCAGGTTCTTACCTTTTTCTGGAGGGTGGTTTCCAGTGGCAGGCTGAGGCAGTTGGGAGTTCTCCTCCCGTGCAGCTGTGATCTCCGGTGGGAGGAAGTGACGCGCGGCACTCACTTCCTTCCAGTCGGCTGCCGATCAGGAAGGGGCCAAACCGGGCCCCAGCTGACACATGCCCACCAGGTGGCCGTTAGTGCATGGGCTGCCCGGGGGGCCTCCTTAGTGTGTGGGCCGGTGCGGCTCTGTGCAGTCACACCACCTGGTCCATGGGGCAGCTGCTCCAGTCCCCCCCAGGAGCAACTAGGCCGAGGGCAGCTGCCCCGTTTGCCCCGCGTTAAAGACGGCCCTGGATATGGATTTACTTGAAAGATATAAGTGAGAGATTAGCATAGGATATGTGTTTTCTAATTGCTAGAGTTTCCCTCCAGCACCACCTCCATCAAACACATGACACTTGGGAGGTATGACTGTTTTAGTGTTTTCTGTCCATAAGATTCTGTAATTAGGCCCATCATAATTGTGAGCACCAGGCCCAGTGGGCTCTTAATACGGCCCTGCCCTCAACCCCCTCTGTTCCTGTGCGTCTAACTGGTCTGGTTCAAAACACGTGTCTGTTAATCCACCCATTGTACAGCGCTATGGAATTTGTTGGTGCTTTAGAAATAATAATAATAACATATAAACTTTGTTATATAAAACAGTATAATTACTCCTATAGAAAAAAAAAAAGAAGTGTAAGTTTATATCATTGAGTGCATCCTGTTTTCTTTCCATTATTTGCTCTTTTCTTACTTTGTGTTATGTATGTACATAGGAAACTCTGAAGAATCTCGTTCTGTAGAGACTGGAGTTCGAGCTGAAAACAAGGATAAAGGTTTATATACTGAGAGCTTTCACTCGGCTGCGTGGATTTTCAGAGGTGATGACGCTGGTTTGGAAAATAGTCCAAGATGTCTCAGTAAAAGGTCCAGATCAGTAGCAAGTAAGTTGTTTATTTCTAAACTTTCAATGGATTTTATAATAACATAAAATGCTGATTGTGTGGTTGATCAAGCGTATCAAAATGTTATTATTTCAGGGGTTTCATTGAAAACGTAAATGAATGTACTATTTTTGCATTGATTATAGTGCTAAGAAATCCCTAGTCCATATTTCCCTTTGCACTAGGTTATTCGAAAGTGTGAATTCTAGGAAAATATCAATTTCGAGGACAAACTGTCCAAATGGACAATTTTTCTAACTTGCCTATTTTGCCTTAAAGATACATTTTCTTTGAGTTCACAGTGAATTTTCAAATATTTATTAAGCAAAATGTATTGCAGAAATTAGCACAAAAAAAATAATCCCTGACTTTGATATATAATAGAGATGTTACGCATTGCTGCCCCAGCGCAATGATTTGCACCATTCTAAAATGCTATATAGTAACTCGTTTCTTGGAGTCGTAATTCTACTGTGAGTTTTCTACTATAGAAAGCGCAGGAACGTGAGACAATTAGCAGTAACTACGAGATCAAGGGCTACACAAAAGGCATAAACAAATGAAAAGTATGTAAAATATAACACATGGCGTGTGTAATCACAATAGGAGACATGGATGGGAACTTCAGTGAAATAACAAAAATAAAAAGATTCTCTAAAAAATAAAACTTTTATTGTCGTAAGGAGAAAATATTGGACTAAAGATAACAGTTAAAAAAAAAAAACTACTACAGATGTGATACAAGTTATTTCTATGGAACAACTCATGAATAGCCTCTGATGGCTTTAATATCAGGAGTCACTGTTATATAGAAATGTACCACTAGAGGTCTCCCTAGACTAGATATTATCTGTAACTGAAAGAATTGTATGGACTGACATATTTCTACAAATGTATCTAGTATAACCAATATATCTCTATATGAAGATCACAAACTATGTATACCACAAAAGAAAGTCAAATTGTGAAACTAATAAAAATGTTGTGCTCTTTGAGTATTCGCATTCGGTTCCTCGACAAGTGCCGAGGGTCATCAGCACTGGCAAGAGTTAAGTATCAATGTAAGTGTTGGACCTATAGTAATGGGCAGTGGGACAGTTTTGTCTGCCTAATGCTATAGTGTTCCTTTAATGTAAAATTACTAAACAATTCTTTATTAGATTTTATTATGTAAAACAACAATATAAACCCATGTCTCAGCATAAAGAGCACATTAACGAATGTTTACAGCGCAAAATTGTGCATGTTTGTGTTTAGATTATAGAGACATTATAAATAATTGGCTACAGAATTCTTCCTTAAAGAATGTAAGACATGCTTGTGCACCTTTTGTCATATTATGGCTTCTACTTACACTTTCTTTGAATATATCCCTGTAATTGTCATCAATTTGAAATCCTCGTCAAAGGTAATACAGCAAGCCATCTGTCTGCTAATTTTCCCTGCACTGAAATTCAGTATTAAATGTGCTGCTTTTCTGTGAAACAGTTCGCGAACGGACAGTGAGAATTACAAAGGGTACAGGAGACTACCCTTGGGGCTTCCGTATCCAGTTTTCGAAACCTATTCTTGTTACTGAAGTGGATACAAGTAAGTATCATTTATTCTTCATAGATATCATTTAAAGGGGTAAGCTAGCATCATAGCCATTATGGCTAGTTGTAATGTTTATTATTCCAGGAGTCCTTGAATGCTATCTCCCATATTGTGTCAAACCATTTATCTGCACCCAAAGTCTGCCTCCTCCATTGTGGCTTGGCTGATACAATATTATCAAACTCATTATGTTAGCATTGCCATCCAAAATTGCACTCTCAATGTAAAAGCTCACTCTTCCTTATTAGACATATTTGAGGACTAGGTATTAGTGCTGAGGGAGCCAGTCAAGAGTGGCTTGGTACCCGCTATGTGGGGGAATATCCAATGATTATTTGAGTCATCACCACCACCTTATGTTTTAGAGGCTAAGGTGCTCTGAGTTTCCATTTTGTGAGTGTGTATTTGTGTGCCTATATTTAAAAAAAAAGGTTATTCAAATCTTGAATGGTATATATTTTATATTTCAAGTATGTCTTCTAATGTTAGCAAATGTAATTAAATTATTTTTTGTCAGGTGTCACGACTGGTAAAAGGCACGGGCGGGAGATTAAAGTGTTGAGATCTGAAAAGTTGTATAAAGTTGCAAACAAGATTTTCATAGGCTTCACAGTAGTTGCATCTCTTTCTGAAACTGACTCTTGTAACCCAACCTACCTGTGTCCTGGCACTTTAATCATGTTATAAGCATTTGAGTGGATCCTGATGAATGACCCTATTCTTAATCACATGACTAAGGCCCAACATTAATATTGATGGTGGATAAGCTTTTCAAGTGATTTAAAATTTTTGGCAACATTTTTAAAATGTAAAAACAACTATATGAAAAACTTACAAAATTAAAAAACAAATTCATAAAATTAAATAATTTTGAAGGTTTATCCAAAAACATTAAATCATTTGAAAAATGTATCCAGCAATATTAAATTGAGGCCTAAATTAATAGTGGGCAACGATGACTAAATATAATTATTTTATCCAGAGCTGCATTGTTATTTGGCAACTTTTTTTTTATTTTTTAAATCAATTGTTTTTCTAATTGTTTCTTTACATAATTAGATGATTTTAAACCCTGTAACGATCAGTGACTCTGTGATTTATTAAATCATGGCATACCTGGTAAATTATTGGACCTCAAGTATTTAACGTCTACTTTTTCATTAGAATTAATATCAGCTTCTATCGTCCGGTAGATGGACCTGCTGAAGAAGCCGGCCTTCAGGTTGGAGATATAGTAATGGCTGTTAATGGAACGGATGTCACTAGCATCCCCCACTCGGAAGCAGCGACTCTCGCAAGACAAGGTAAGCCTACATCTCTCTTTAAACATTTATGGTAAAATATATTTTGATTGATTTCAATATATCTTTGGGGAGATGAACGAATGTGTGATGAACCACTCCAGTATCTTAAAGGTTGTGTACTAAAGTGAGAAAGATGTTCTATACCCTAGTAAAGAAAAGATTTCACATAACATAACAAGAATAAAACAATTTATTTACTTTAAAAAAAAAAAAACAATCTCTAACTTATCACAGTGCAATATATCTCACAGACGGAGTTTGGTAAGCTTGATTCTATCAGTGATGTTCGTGGTCTATCACCCAAAAGTTTCTCCAATGAAATTGTTAGATGAAGGTTCAGCTCTTCCATGAATAAAAAGTCTCCTGACATAAGATGATCCTGGGAATACGGAAAAAATATATCTATCTATAGATATCTGTCTATAGATACCCGTCATACAGAATTGCTATTGGGGTTGTTGGCTATTCTTTTATTGCATAACATAGCCCCTACTAATCGGAAGTGGGAGGGGAACCTGGAGCATGGTTCACTGTGCAATGATCCCACGCGTTTACCTTTCTATGGGCAGTGTAAATAGAAGTAATATACTTAGTACAGGGGCATTGTTGAGCAATCTCCTAAGCAGGTGGATGTCTACTATAATCCTCCTATTAATTCTTTCACTGTCAGGTCGGTTCTGAGCAATTTCTTTTTAATTACGTTGTCATTTGTATAAAAGCCGCATACAATATACCTAAAGAAACCCTATTTAAATGTATGAAATTTATTTATTTATATTTAGTTTGCATAAAGTCTATATAATTTTAAGTATAACAAGTGCAGCTAATGAATTCTACCCTAAATTAGATTCATGAATTGTGGTTGGCAAAGGTTATATCTTAGAAGAAAGTACTTGGTGATTTATACATGACAAAAGTAGGTATGCATGGTCAGATAAGTTTAATAATAGTAACAGGGATATTCATTTAACTCCAAATCATACCAAATTAAAATTAAATTACAAAATTCAAAATAAAATAGCCATGCTGTGATTATAGCTGTGTTGGAGAATTTATTTCTTAATCAGTTATTTTAACCATAATTTTAAAATTTGGATTTTAATTTGCTACAGTTCCGAGGTTAGTGAATAAACACACAGATATCAAAAGGACGCCTTTTAGATTGTTGCATTGGTACAATTGTCATTATAACATCTATTTCTTCCAAAATGAATTCTAATTTGTTTCTGATCCTCACCAAAAACAAACACACACAATTTATTATATTGTGTATTGTGGCTTGCAGACTGTGCAAATGCAATGAAATCGTTTCATTTGTACCTGACTATATCAATGCCCCCATATTTAGGTCTACTATTTTATTTAATGCAAGTTGGATATATGCACATTTTATTATTATGAACTCTGAATTTTACAGATTGAACGAGTATATTCAGTATATGTTTCTGTGGGTTCTTTTGGGGTTTTTTTTTTTTTTTAAGTAAGAGAGCCATTTTTTTTGTTGTATCCAAACATTTTTGGAAATATATAGGTAGCATGACGAGTTCTTACTTTTTAAAATGTTTTTTTTTTCATATAGCACAACTAAACCCCAGTTTATTTAAGAAAATGTACCCGTGCAAATACTCTTTGCTACATGAATATTCTTCCATGCTTGTTGACGTTTTTTTATTATTATTTTGAATTATTAGTCTCTTATTTTAAGACAAGACTGAACATTGAATGATAGTGTGTTCTATACATACAGTTTAAAATGCAATTATATGACATCAAATTTCAGACACAATAGCGACACAGATAGGAAGCACTTGTTACAATAATTACATTTCCATCATTTGAATTGGAATTTGAACAAAATAACTTCATGCAAAATATCTAATATTGTCTGAATTATTCAAATAAATAGTGCTCTATTTTCATTTATTATATTGTTATGACATCTGCTTATCTCAGTAATGTCTCAGGTGAATATAATGTAAGGTGACAGACTCACTCTAGGAGGAAGTATTGCTTCCTCTAATAATTAAAATGTATGTTCTTACTTAAGATAGTGTAATTCATTAATACAAGTTTATACTATGTGTAAGTGGGATGAGAACCATGGTCTGGGAAGTGAGCTAACCATAGAATACAATTTTAATCTTTAATTGCACTGATTATTCAATAAATAATATAAGACATATCAACAGGGTGCTCAATTAATATACAGACAGGATGGTCTATACCTCTTGATACAATCTAATAAATGTGTCTAATGATGCGCTAGCTCTATGCTTTCTAAGGACTGTTCCCTTAGCACTCGCTAGGCACTCCTCTCCTAACCTTCTTACTAGCAGGCAGAAGCTCCTGTTATACAGTCTGGGACAGATAAAAAGTGTATGTAGTGAGTGTAGAAGAAAGGGAACATGTCACAGTGTTAGAGAGACTGAAGCAGCAAGAGCATTCACATAGTGCGCAAAGTCAGCTTTACCTTAACTAATTTCATAGGCAGCCAGTCCACATAAATTTTTTTACCTACATCCAGGCCCGTCGCTACCGGACAGGTAAACCAAGCAATTCGGTGCTTACTATAAGGCTGCAGCCGCCTGAGTGCTCTATAGAGAGTCTCAGGCGGCTGCAGCACTCCTCTCTCGTCACCTCCCCTTCCCTGTAGCGTGGCCGAGCTCCTCTTCCTCCTGGCTGTCAGTCCTGGCTGTCACTTGCTTTCAGTCCGGCCGGGAACAGGAAATTGAATCTCCTGTACCGCGCGGTACCCAGCCGGACTGACAGCCAGGAGGAAGAGGAGCTCAGCCACGCTACAGGGAAGGGGAGGTGAGAAGAACATAGGGGGGAGCAGTAAAAAAACATAGGGAGGGGGAGGGTGGGAGTAAAAAAAACATGGGGAAGGGGGGAGTAAAAAAAACGGGAGGGAGTAAAAAAAACATGGAGTAAAAAAGAACATAGGGAGGGGAGGAGTAAGAAGGACGGGGAGGGAGGAGTAAAAAACATAGGGGAGTAAAAAAATGGGGGGAAAGAAGAAGATGGGGAGAGGAGTAAGAAGGACACATGGAGGAAGTAAGATGGAGATGGGGGAGGGAGTAAGGACAGGGAGGGAGTGAAGGAGGAGGGAGTAAGAAAAGGGACAGAGGAGAGGAGGGAGTAAGAAAGGACACAGGAGGGGAGGCAGGGAGTAAGAAGGACAGGGGAGGGAGGGGAGTAAGAAGGACACAGGGAGGGAGTAAGAAGGACAGAGAGGGAGGAGGGGGGAGTAAGAAGGACACAGAGAGGGGGGAGGAGAGTAAGAAGGACACAGGGAGGGGGGAGGGGAGTAAGGACAGGGGGGAGCAGTTTTAGATAATTTGCACATGTTTGTGAGAACTGAAAAATGTCAATGTGAGTGTATGTGTGTGTTTTAAGTTTGTTGGATTTAGTTATTGTGCACTTTTTTAATGTATATTTGATTTTATGGTACAGTGGTGTTTTTTGCAAATGTTCAATTAATCAGAACAGTTTTATGAAGCACAGGTCATGCCAAACTAACTTGATTGCCTTCTACGAAGAAGTAAGCAGAAGTATAGATCAGGGTGTTGCCGTGGATGTGATCTATTTGGATTTTGCCAAGGCATTTGATACAGTTCCACACACTAGATTAGTGTTCAAACTCAAGGAAATCTGTCTAGATGAAAATGCTTGTTCTTGGGTAGAACATTGGCTTAAAAACAGAGTACAAAGAGTTGTCATTAATGGTAAATTTTCAAGCTGGACAGAGGTGGCAAGTGGTGTCCCTCATGTGCAGTGGCGTACACATAACCCATGGGGCCCCGGTGCGAAAATTGATCCGTGGGCCCCCCCCGCGCGCGGGCCGGCCCGCAACACATGGCGGTGGGCACCTGGTCGCAGGGGTTACAGGGTTGCGACCCCTGCGACCGCGGTATGTACGCCAGTGCATGCAGATGCACACACACTTAAAGGACCACTACAGACACCCAGATCACATCAGCTCAATGAAGTTGTCTGGGTGTCAGGTCCCTCTAGTTTTAACCCTGCAGCTGAAAACATAGCAGTTTCAGAGAAGCTGCTATGTTTCACTGAGGGTTAATCCAGCCTCTAGTGGCTGTCTCACTGACAGCCGCTAGAGGAGCACACTGAACGTCCATAGGAAAGCATTGAGTAATGCTTTCCTATGGGCGGTTTGAATGCGTGCGCGGTCGCATTCGGAGCTGAGAGGCTGAGAGGCTGAGGGATCCTCAGTGCCAAGGGAGTCCGGCGCTGGAGAAAGGTAAGTGCTGAAGACACACACACACACACTTACAGACGCATACACACTAGCTAACAGACAAACACATTTACTGACAGAGACACAGTCAGCGACAGACATACATACACACTCACTTACAAAACATACACTCATTGACAAACACACACTCACTAACAGACATCAAACAGACTCACTAACACACACTCAGTAAGACACACAGTAACACTCACTGACACTCACTAGCAGACACA